CTCTTTCCTTTTCCCCTGCTATTCTTTTTTTTTTTTTTTTGAGTTGGAGTCTCACTCCGTTGCCCAGGCTGGAGTGCAGTGGCATGCTCACGGCCACCGCAGCCTCGACCTGCTGGGCTTGGAGATCCTTCCGCCTCAGCCTTCCAAGTAGCCAGAACTACAGGTGTGTGCTACCACGCCCTGCTAATTTAAAAAAATTTTTTTTGTAGACCTGAGGTCTCGCCGCCAAGTTGTCCAGGTTAGTCTCGAGCCCTTGGGCTCAGGCAATCTACTCGCCTCCACCTCTCAAAGTGCTGGGATTACAGGCTGAGCCACTGAGCCCGGGCATAACTTCTTATATTTCTGCATCTCAGTCCTGCTGGACTCCCTGTCCCTCCAGTTGGGCAGACACTGTTACTCCTTCCTGTGGGAAGTACCCTTCAGAAGACATCAGTATACTTCAAAAGACATCCCCAGGCACCTTCTAGTGTGTACTGTAGTTATGAGCTTTATCGCATGCTTTCCTCCTGGACCATGAACTTCTAGAGAGAAAGGAAAGTATACTCATCTGGCTTATTGTCAAATATTCCACAGCACTCAGTGAAGAGTCTAAAATATATGGAACAAATGAATGCATACATGCATACATGACAATCTCCTTTGCAAAAGCTATGAATTCTTCCAGTTAAAAAAAATTACAAAATGACCTCTGTGGAAATAGGAGGCAGCTTTATAAAAGAACAAGCTATAAATATACTGAAAACATTTTATTTACTCATGTATCAGAATGCTAAAAGGATTTTATTTTTGTGTCCCTTTGATCTGACTCTTGCTTTTTCTTTTAAGCAGAGATCCATAGACACTTGTTTTTATGTGAGTGAAATAATGGATGGAGATTTGGGAGGGGCAAAAATATAGAACTGTCCTTTTTTTTTTTTAATCTAAAGCAATTACCATGAGGATAAACAGCTTTCTTCTTAATAAAGCAATTCCATAAATAATAGTAAAATTCTTGACATCCCAGCCATACGAAGTCTGCAGGACAGTGTCAATGATATATAGTGCTGGCTGGGAGAAACTATTGTTTACAAGCTAATTATTGTACAACAAGTCAGCTTTTCTTAGCTATTTGAGAGGTTAAAACAGCAGATTCAGAAAGATAAAGTGTATCAGCATGTACATTAAAAAAAAACTGTGATTATAAACAATAGTTTGAGAGAATTGAAAAAAAACAAGTTAGAAAAAAACCAGTTTATTAAGTAATATCATATAAATAACTTGTTACAAAAATTGGTTTGCAAAAGGCATATTTACTCTTTGTGAGAAATCACTTTTTAAATTGCATTCTTTTCAAATTTTTAACTCTAAGAAAGCAAAACAAAATGAAAGAAGCCATTTCAAGAAGTGCGTATTTGCCATTTGACTACAACAAAAGGCCCGGCTGCACTGAGCTGAAAGTTAAGACTCTCAACCCCACTTAACACAGAAAACTTTCTCAGGTAAGCTGTGAGGTTATGAAAATTTCCCTAGCTACAAATGTGGATGGAAGCGAGCAGTGATTGCTTCCACCAGGTATTCTTGTTGCCAAAGACATGAACGATACTGAGGAAAACGACATGAACTGAGCACTCCAGCCAGTAAATCTTCAAGGGTGGCATCAGTTTCAATTTATACTTGGAAGTATTTTTAATTAAAAACAATCAATACCAAAAAGCTTTTATTTTCTGGGTTTAAAAATCACAAATCACAGTAGGAGAATGCCAAACCGCCTTAGCTCGGTACTACTGAAGACGTACATAGCATTTATTATAAGGCCTATTCTTATGCAGTTCACTCTCAAAGCAATGAAAATAATCACAAACAAAACAGTATAGTGAGTCTGAAGCGTTCCTATATTTCTTCCAAGTAGATCAGGTTTACATTTGCTACACAGCATTCCCTCTGAATGCCTAGAAATTCTATACATTTGATTTTTTAATAAACACTAAACTAATAGATCATAGAAAACTAAAAGCTTATAGAAGGAGCCTCCAGACATATTTACATAAATAGCGTAGCCTCACAGGAAAGACCAAGATCTCATTAGAGTGGAATGCCTTTTCCACAATGCTGTGTCCATGCCTCATTTGTCAAATTAACCCCATTTGAGGAGAAATTTGAGTTTGTGGTTCATGGTTTTTAAAAAATGGAATTAAGCAACTTGTAAAAGCTCTCTTGAAATTAATCTAATAACCCAGTGGCTCTTTGGCTAAGTGCCTCAGTCCGGTCTGAAATACAGTGGGTAAGAGCCTTTGTTTCCATTTGACCTGCTTTCAACACTTTCATCTGCTGGTTCTATTGGGCTAATGTTTCCCCCCAAATAAAAAATGAAAATGCACCATAAATAAGGTATTACGAAATGGAGAGTAGATTAAAGATTGTCTCAGCAATGCTTAAATTAAATTGACAATGCAGAGACCATAAACTTCTAGCTTTAAATATGAGCTATTTCTTTATTAACTTTTAACAAGTGTGTGAGTCAATGTATTTTCCTTCTAAGAGGGTATTGCTCCCCACATTAAATATGGTCAGGGTCTGATTTTTTAGTAGAGAATTATCCCTTTAGAAAATTATTCCATAAAGATGCCATAGGGAGATTAAAAAGGCTGCAACCATAATTGTCACTGCACATTTAAGGAACCATACTGTAATGCTGTATTCTCTGGAAAAGAAAGCTGCCTGTCAGAGCTTAGGAAACTTTCCATCTTCCTGAAGATTCGCATACCAAGTGTCAATCTTTCCACTCTTATAATCTGATAAAGAAGGTTGTGGTGTTGATTTAAACAGCAGACTGCTTGGCTTTTGAGTCCCCTGCTACAATGTCACAATTCAAAAAAGATTTCATCCGGATAAAACATCAAAATCAAAATTACACTAAAATGATCCTTTTCAGAGGATACTTTTCAAAATAGTAGGGATCATGACTTTTTAGAGTGTTCTTCCAGAGTAATTACATCACTTCAAAACTAGTGATTAGGATAAAAGAATGTATTTCATAGTCTGTTCCTGGGGAAAACAAATTTAGCTGATAAGGATGAGTACTTGATTTAAAAATTTAGCTTGCACCCAGGAATCAACTCTGATTTCTTCTTTCAACAGTACACTTTTTATGGTGCTCAAGTATACAGAATCTAGAAAAATGCCTGATTCATAGTTTATATACTATTATTCCTAGTGAAATATCCATATCTAGGCAAAGCATTTGATGTGAGATGTTCAGCAAATCAGGATATTGAAAATTTATGTATTTAAAATTGAAAGTGATGGAAACATTCTAAAGTTAATTTGGATCCATAAAATTTGGATGCTTCTAATAGGTAGATTCAATTTTTAAGAACTTTTTGCACAGCTTTTTGAAAGCTGAAAATGAAAACGAAGACACAAAATTTTATACTGAGTTAAAATTGAATTGCCAGGTTTTGTTCCACCTGAAAATGAGTAATTTTGCAGCTGAACCTTCCTTTATGCATCCAAACTGTAAAAGCAGGGAAGTTCTGAAAGACACATATATTTACTGTGCCCAGATTCCCTCTCTTGATGTTCTGTGCCACTATCTTTGTTTCTCTACCATTTGATTATTTGGGCACAAATGTTTTTCAGGCCTTTCAGCAGAAAGTGGCAATGAAGTGAAGGTGATTTAAACAATGGCTTAATGTTTTAAAATTCAACTTATTCTAGGGACTATCTTAATAGTTTAAAAAAGCGATTCCCTTTGAATGGGGGGGGGGGAATCATCAGAAAGGCCTCAGCGTCCTTGAAACAACCCACAAAAGCAATCTGCTTATGTTTAATGAATTTTAGTTTCTCAGTGATTGAAGCAAATATCAAACTTTTATTTCTTCCCACTCTTTTTCTATCCTTCTCATCACCAATATCTGAAATCAGGACACAGACAATGTGAAAATAGAGCTGAAAACTATTTTTTTCCTCTAGTAATCTATCATGTTGACTTGGACCCAGCACTTAAAAAAATTCTGTACATGGAATGGTGTTTGACTTGGTATTTTGGTGGAAAGGAAGTGAGACTGAACAGGGGAATAATGGAACTGTGGCTCTTATTGTTTTCATGATGTCAAAGTGTCTTAATTACAGGAAAATATCACTCCAACTTTATATTTATAGCACCATAGTACTAAACATTCAGCTCCAGTCTCCAATTAAACAATTTCCTATAAATTTACTTTGTCATCAGCTTTTGTGGTAAAAGATTAAAGTTATTCAACAATTAGTAATAGTAACCTGTTCTTGGCACACCATATCATCTTCAGGGTGGGATAAAAGACCCTGCCAGTGACATCTCAAATATTTCACTAGAGAAATATTTACTTTCAGGTATTAGGAGAAAGTAAATCTGACCCTTAAACATTGGAAATTGCTAGTGTCAACCCTCAACTCTTGATGATATCTTTCTTTTTACAGGACTATCTTTCTTGATTCCATTTGTTATATGTCATGAAACACAAGAATAGAGAGCTCTTCAATTTTTACAGTAAAGGGTGTGATTAGGGTGCTGCTCTATTACTATAAATGACTAGTTCTTGTTAATTAATTTTACTAAGCTATCTTTTCTCAACACTTATCTGTGACTATGATACATATCAATTCATTAGAATGAGGACCTCTCATAGCCTTCTGTTAGCATTCCTGTGTGTGTGTGTGTGTGTGTGTGTGTGTGTGAAGAACTAGAAAAAGAAAATCCTGAAAGCAGGAAATAGCTCAAGCTAAATATCAGTTAGTATTAGTATACAGGGCAGTCCATTATAAAATAAGAAACCATTCAGGAAACACAAGGAATAATATGGTTGTAAAAATTTTTCACTCTAATATGGCAACCCAAAATACTATGTTTCTATTGTTTCAAAGGTTCCATCTTTACTTCTTGGGTAATATGCCTATTTCAAACTTAAGTAAACAACAGTATGTTTCCAAACAAAAAATATGTGCTGATATGACATTATCCCCAAATGGAAATGACACTAAGATTATCTGTAGGAAATTAACATTAATCGAAAATAAATCCCTAAGACTAATACGTGAAGTCAGTATATTCTTAAGTATATATATTATATATATATACACAGAACCTGTCTTTTAGTGTTTCAAAACAAGTATGTTTTCATTACAGTACTTTGGAAATTCTGATGACTGCATAATGTAAGATTCTAATGATAAGGGTCATTAGAACAGTCGTATGAAATAAATGATTTGAACCTGCCAGAAGGATTAGTTCGGTTCAGTTGGATCCTCTGTATAATAACCGACTATGAGGCTAATTGCATAATTAGAGAAATAATAGATTGGATAGATTTTGCATTACTTTTCTGTCATAGTTTGAGACCATTACTTTATCATTAGTTCAAAGACAAAGATGGCAGGGTGGTCATGAAAGCAAAGTAAAAGCAATGAGAAAATACTAATGCTTTGGAAAGCCAACTATCATTTTAATTACAATCTTAAACACCTTTGTTGAAGGGAAATTTTCCCTTTGTAAGCGTCTTCCAAACATGGAATATGTAAGTTGTCATCATGATCTCCATGTTGTTTGTGAATATTTATCACATTATATAAACACATAGAAGCTTCCAGATGTGAAGGGCAGGGTATTCAGTTCAAGTATGGCTGGCTGTCACCTTTCCATTGACTACTGAGAGTGGGATTTAAATTTTATTTAATCTTACTTTACTAATTCAACTTAAGTGTGTAAGAAGTATCTGAAGGATATAAATTATTGTATTTTACACTACTGCTTTCATATAGGATAATAATGTTGACAACAACTACAGATAAGGAGCTAAAATTTGTCTCAGAAGAATTATTTCAAGAACTTTTAAACAATTAGACTTATTTGTCACGAGCCTACTGATGACTGGAAGACTTTCAAGTGGTCCGTGATACATTTGGTGGCCAAAACTTTTAACGTATGCTAAAAATAGTTCCTCTGTTAACATTATTAGTTATTTTCCCTTTTCTTTGATTTGATACAAAGGCAAACGTTTGCATTGCTAGTCTAGGAAGTAACAAATTATGAGTTCGTGGCAAGGAATAAAGTCTCATTAAGTTTGTTGCTGACATTACTATTTAACTTGCTACTATTCGTTAAAAGTAATACGAATTTTAAAACACTGATGGGTTTGATGTTTTGAATAGTAGTCGGTGCCAGAGAAAGTTCTTGAAGAAAAAACAGGATTGGCAAATGTCATTTTAAATTCTCTATGTCGGAAATACACACCCTTATATATATATGTAGTTTATCTCCTTGTGAGCTGATACACCCTCAATTCTTTCGCTAAGATTACATTTTTATCTTTAAAGCACAATCCCTTATCCCATTAGCATGTGAAACGTACAGTTAGAGCAGGCAGCTGACCAGGGTCCATGGAGTGTAGTTAACCACCAGGCCAGTGGCAATGAGCATGAGGCCCTAAGAGAACAAGTGAAAACACTGCTCTCTGTCCTCTCCTCTGGCACGTGCCTGTTGGGCTGACTTGATTAACTGGATGCACTAAAAAATAAAAATTTGCCTCTTGGAAGCTCATAAAATTGTACTAGAAAAAAGTCTTTAACATTGGATCCACACGGACGGCAGCCATTGGTCTGTGGAACGGATACAGCAGAGGACCCTTCACGGAGCAGTGGATAAATATAAAGAAATAGCCACTTCACATATCTCAGTGTCATATTGGAAAATGAAAAAAGGCAACAGATTAGGAGTCTTTGTCACTGTCCACTCCTCCGTACATATCCGCTAGCTTTTTGAACCGAGGTCCCCAGTCACTAAGGTAATCATAGTCTTGATCTCCATCCGTGGTCACCGACTCCAGCGAGCTCAGGGAATCTGCCACCGAGCCGGTGCCTTCGTAGGCGTAGGTGGCCAGTGAGTCGTACGGCGGGGCAGTGGGGTCCGTGTCATTTTCCTTTAACCTTTGGTTAATGAAATCTCTGACATCGGTGTTGTCACGAGCTGTTGGAGTCCGTCGGGGGAGGAAAAGGGCTTCGGGCACAATGTCCCTTCGTAATTTGTTGTCCTCTATGGCTTCGGGATTCCTCAGGGTGCCAATATCAAAGGCCTGGGTGTCCTCCTCTCCACCACCTTCGTCGTTGTAACTGACAATGTTATCTCTGATGTCCTCTTTGGAAATGATCAAAGGCTCTTTTTTTCGCTGCCGCCTCAGAGCGGCAAACAGCACCACTGTCACTGGAAGCAGAAAACAAAACGGAAGAGGAAGGGAAAGTTAATTTGCCGCCCAATTAACGTCAGGAAGAAACACTGTGCTCGAACGTGAAGTTTTAAAAGTTTTCTAGAAAATGCAGACTCAACTTTTATTTCTTTAAGGATGCACTTGCCTCCATCCGTGATCAAACCAGGGCCCCCCAAACGGAGTAAATACTTGAAAGAAGGTTATAATTTAAGTAGAGGATGAAACACCATCACATTTTGTCAGGAGCTCCTGTTTTTTTCACTTTGAAAGGGCAAGCTAGTTTCAAGGCAAGGAAAAATAATAAAAGAAAACCAACTCAACCACAGTGTAAGTAACTGTATTAAGGGTGCAAATTATGCTGAACACCTAAAATGCTCTGAAACTGGTTATAAGGGCAAGACTGGCACCTTTGGGAATGTGTTGAAGGGTTTGCATAACTCCACATCTAAAATAACTTTTGCACGAGGCTGTCTTCTTTTTTTTTCCTGATAAAAGTGTAAAAATCAGTTTAAAGCCCAAAGTAGAGATGTGAATGTCTGCATATCTTTCCTACATACAAAGAAATATGACAGAATACCTGGAGAGACCCAGATAGAATTCAGAAAGTCATTATGGATTTCAAGATTGGCCAATTTAAAGGAGGCCAGGTAAAATCCCATTTGCCATATTATTTCTGTTTGAGCTAAATGAAATAAACACATTTAAGTGAGATTTTTTATTTTTATTTTTCAAAGGTTCATGTTCTATAAGTGTGTTACCCAGAATGTTCATTCTTTTTATTTCTCCTCTTAACTCAATTTAGAGGTAAAGCAAGAGTTGTGTTTAAATAGTTCCTGATTTTTCTTCACACCTGACTGGGTGGAACACAGCTGGCTACCTATTGAGAGACACATCTCTCAACTAATGGTCATATGAGTGAAAAAATAAAAACACAGCAATAGTTTAGAAAGAAAATAGCCTTTCGAGGTAGAAAATGCATTGTTAAATTGGGTTTGTCCAGCGGAGTTTATTACGGAATTCTCAGTAATGTCTCTTTATTATTTCATCTATAGCAAGGCCCAATTTTTATGAGCCAAGAAAATTGAATTATTACAATAAAATGGCAGAATAATGGCTTTTTAGTGGATATATATAGCTACTTATCTAGTAGTAGACATATGTATACCTATGTGTTATATTATTAAAATTGCAAACATTAATATTAATAATAGTTGGCTACCTTTTGGGAGCTTTCTATGTGCCAAGTGCTTATCATACTGAATCTCATTTAATTGTCATCAAAATAGACACCATCATTAAAAAAACATTTTACATAAAAGGAAATTAAGGCTTAGAGATGTTACATGTATATGTAATTCAAATCCAGGTTGGTCAGACTAAGAAACTTGCACTCTTAAATACCATACTATGAAGCACGTTTGGATTATAGACTATTTCCAAAAGAAATGCAATTTTTTTGCCATTTTTTTTTTGAGTTGGGGTCTTACTCTGTCACCCAGGTGGAGTGCAGTGGCGTGAATACAGTTCACCACAACCTTGAACTATTAGACTCAAGCCGATTCTCTGGCCTCAGTCTCTTGAGTAGCTGGGGCCACAGGTATGTGCCACCATGTCCAGCTGATTTATTTTTTGTAGAGAGAAGAGCTCTCTAAATTGTCTATGCTAGTCTCAAAATCCTGGGCTTAAGCAATCCTCCAGCCTCAGCTTCCCAAAGTGCTGGGATTATAAGGCAGAGCCACTGTGCCCTTGCCTTGTGGCCAAATTTTGCCATTTTCAAGTGTGTGGCTATATACAGTGTACACACTCCCTATTGCTGCCAGATGCCTTGATTGTCACATCCATTCAAGGTATTTATTCATTTGATAAATATTTGTGTAGAGTCTACTGTGTACTAGGAATGGTTCTAGGAAGTGGGTAGGTGGGTGGGTGGGGTGGTTGGATGGGTACAGAAAACAAACAATGTGTATGGTAAATAAGGAAATTACTAAAAGGTGATAGAGCAATATAAACAAGAAAGAGCAGAACAGAACAAGGAGGATGGGGAGTGCTTCCACATGTTTGAGGAGCCGTATGAACATATAGCACACATGTTTTGTGGATGCTTTTTCTGTGAGAACTTCCAACATTTGAGCAAAGGCATGAACAGTCATTCAAGGAGCTGTCTGGCAAAGAAAAAAAGAGTTAGAGGGAAGGCCCTAGGGTGGGAGTATATGTCCAGAGTGTTTGAGGAACAACTAAGAGATGGGTGTCTGGACTGGAGGGAGCAGGGAGAGGAGAGGAGTAGGTAAGGGCCAGGTCTATGAGGCCTTGGAGGCTTCTTTACACCCTTCCCTTTGCACTTTCTTCCAGAGGTTGGGACTGGGGGAGGGAGAGGAGAACCACAGGGCTGAGGGCTTAGGGAAGCCCATGATCTGCCTTTTTTTTTTTTTGGCATTGGAGTCTCACTCTATTACCCAGGCTGGAGGGCAGTGGTAGCCTCCTGGGCTCAGGAGATCCTTCCACTTCAGCTTCCTGAGCAGTTGGGACTATAGGCACATGCCACCATGCCTGCCTAATTATTTTATATTATTTTATTTTTTGTAGAGATGAGGTCTAGCTATGTTGCCTAGGCTTGTCTTGAACTCCTGACCTCAAGTGATCCTCCCACCTCAGCCTCCCAAAGTGCTAGGATTACAGATTTGAGCTACCATGCTCAGGCCATGGTCTGCCTTTCATGTGGGTTTCTAGCATGAAGACTGACATGGATTTGTAAAACAGAGGGCCTTTGGGATTAGAGAACAGAATCAAGCCAACGGTCTTTCCAAGAATTAAGTTTAAGAATTAAGAATTAAGTTCAGATGTACACAGATTCATTCAGTCACTTAAGGCAAGATAGCAGGCATTTATCACCTCCTGACTCTTCCCCATCTTAAGGTGTCTGTATGTTTTATTTTAGTTCTATGCACATCTGAAAGTATAACTGTCTAGAGGAGAGAGGGCATATTCAAAATTCAAAGGCATTTATTCAAGGCCCAATTCTACTATGGCTAAACCTACATATATCTTTTCTTATTAGTCCAATCACATCTGAAACAGAATTTCTTGAGAGTATAATTGTCTAGAAAGAAATCTCTCAAAGTTAATTTTATAAGCAGAAAAATGTGATTTCTAAGCATATGGGGCAAAACATTGTAAGGAAGTGAGACACCAATGAGGTGCCCTTACCGGGAACCGAGTCTCCCCTTTTCCCTACCTTTTTGGAGCCAGAGGACAGTTGTAAGATTGGGGGGGGTAGGTACTGGGGCAGAAGGTGAGACAATTGGGCAAATGTGTGCTCAAATCACAGCATAAAACTAGAAGATCAACAGACATAGGTTAGATGAAATGATTTGACCTTTCTAAGCCTGTTTTCTCTTATTATTATTCTTAACTAATTAAAAACATTTTTTTGTGAAAGAGGTGCACCATTTCTAGAGGTCCTGCAATACCAAGTTGATTCATGGAGTGGATGGAGCAATCTCCTATTTCATCTCTCTGCTCCAAAAATCCATTTACTATATTGTCCTTGGATAGAGGATGTATCAGATATTAAACTGATAAGAACAGATACTATACTTGATTTTAGCCAAAAGGCCAAGGAGCGATTAAGCTTGTGTTCTCATCTGTAAAAGAGAATAACACAGTGCACAGGGTTGTTGTCAGGTATGAGTTAACAGATGTTAAAGTGTTACAAACTTTAAAGCAAAATGAGATGTAGTAGTTGTTCAAGTTTTTTTTTTTTTGAATCAGGGTCTCACTCTGTCACCCAGGTTGGAGTGCAGTGGCACGTTCATGGCTCACTGCAGCCTCGACCTCCAGGGCTCAGGTAATTCTTCTGTTTCAGCCTTTGAAGTTTCTGGGACTACAGGCATACACCACCATACCCAGCTGATTTTTTGTAGAGATGAGGTCTTGCTATGTTGCCCAGGTTGGTCTTGGACTCCTAGGCTCAAGCAATCCTCCTGCCTTGATCTCCCAAAGTGCTGTGTTGGGACTATAGTAGTGAGCCACCGTACCCAGCTTTAGTTATGTTTATTGTTGTTTTATTTTTGTAAAATACCTGATGCCATATATATATATATGATCCGCTTTCTTGACTCCAGATTTCTTCCTATATCTGTGACTTTCCTTATCTTACAAACTCTCAGATGTGTCGCCATTTTCTTCAATTGGCTCATTTTATGTTGGGGCTCTCTTTACCCTGAAGATGGTCCTGCATTCCATAAACTCACAAAGAAAGCAGATTGCAGTGTGGAATCATCTAGCCCTGGGGAGCCCTGGGTTTGGAACTTGGTTCTACCACGACTTGGCCACATGCCATCACATCTTGGTGCCTCAGAATTTTTATTTCAGATGCATACACTAGAATGTTCTGAAGATTAAGTAAGAAAAACACTTATATGGCATCTAGCCTATGGTGTGTACCTAAGTAAAGGGTAAGTCCCATTTTTCTCCTTTTTTATTATGTACAGAATTCCAAAGACACAAAATGAGAGATGTGGGAGCCACCAAGGACAATTAGAAGTAATGTAGAAACAGCAAGTTCACTGGAGGAAGGGAACGAAAAGGAGAGATACAGTAAGTTGATTAGAAGGAAGAAAATGGGGGAGAAAAAATGAGTAGAGGATGAGAGAAAGGAAGAACCACCTCCATCAGATGAAAGTTGACTCTCCTTCCGTAGACCACCAAAACGGTCCATGGAATACTACGTGGTTACAGCCTTGCCAGCCTGGGGATCCTAAAAATAACATTTTTTAAATCTAAAAGAACATTCATATCTTTCTCTTCCAAAACAATTTTTACAGACTCACATCATTAGAAACACTGATTTGTCTTTGCACACTGTCAGTTTTTATTTATGCTCATAGCTTAAAATAGTTTCCCCAAATCTTAGTTGACAAAGAGAATCACAGTTCCGTAGTTGAGTTTCAAGGCTTCTGTTATAATTAGCAAGGTTGATTCGGAATGTGAAGCTCTGGAGCAGGGATCCCTAGGCAGTCTGTTCTTGGAGAAAAGCAAGTTCTCTTTGACTCTTCTCAAAGTCATTCTGTCTCCATTTAAAAAAAAGAGTTCTTCCCCCTATGTCATGCAGGTTAGCTCTTTTTTTTCTTTCCACTGTACTTTACAAATCTTGTTTTTATTTTTGTAAGGGCTTCATTCACTAACATTTGATTTCTTAGTTCACAGTCAAGGGCCTGTTGAGTGATTTGAGCTCAACTTGTAGGCTTAGCTAATTGGTTGGGGGTAAACATTTCATTTGAATCATTTATATCTGGATTTTCATTTTTATTACATCCATTTCTTTTGGGTCCCAGATTTATTTACCTAATCACAGAAAATTACTTATTATTAAAATCTGAGAAATAGTAGACATTATGTATGTGGCAGTCAGAGGACAACACTAGGAAGGTAGTCATTTAACCAATTAAAAGTAGTTTGCTTGGTTAAAAAAAGTCATATCTTTCATTTTTCCTGGATGAGAGACAAAGTCATCACACTCCTCTTTTCATTTTCCCATAGGTTTTTCAAATTTACCTTGTAGGAAGTGTATTCAGCATATACTCCATGCTGAATACGTTCACTCTTGAAAATTTCACAATGTTTGCAAACACTAAACAACAAATGGAATGAAAGGACATATTTATACTGCTCTGAAATCCCCCTGAGATTCATTATCAGTCTGAGAGACAAGAAGTTCTTTTGGTGGAATGATTTCTGGGCAAGGAAAGACATGGGCAAGTTTCATTTCACATCTGTTCATTCTCCAAAGCCATTTTCAAGCAAAAACGAGTTCACGGTCGAACAACACAGATTCTCAGCATGTAACTCTACTCACCTAGATCAGGCTGTATGCCTTACTGGGGGAGGCGGATAAATCTAGAGTGTCACAGTAACAGTGTGAGCCCCTCACCATGGGGAGATAGGAGGCAGGGAGAACCAGTTTACCTAGTAGGATCACGATGCACAGAAGGATGGCAACCAGAGCCCCCGTGCTCAGTCCCGTAGGGTGGATGAGCGCCTCGGCATGGCAGGACTGCATGTTCCCATGGTGGTCACATGCACAGACCCGGACAGTCACTGTCCCAGTGCTGCTTTGAACTGGGTAGTCGTTGTCTGAAATGACCACAGGCAGGAGATAGGTGCTCATCTCGTGTCTACTATAGCCATTTTTCCGAGTTAAGATTCCTGCGGTGTTGTCTGGAACCAGAAAGCAAAGTGGTGAGTGTATGTAGACACTACATCATGCCTTTGGATCAATTGTGATGGGAACAGATAGATCTAGATACAGATGCAGATACACATAGAGAAGATAACTTAAGCTCATTTACCTTTATTGTCTTGAATGGTGAAGTTTGAGCCACTGGCTGCTTCAGGAGCCAAAGAGAATGAGAATTGGTGTCCACTGTAAGGGTCATCCTTGTCAACAGCACGTAGGGTCTGAATCAACTAAGACAAAAACCATAAAGCTGCCATAAAGTTTTGATAACTCAAAAGTGTTTCTTACAGTTTTGCAATAAATTGCTTGACTAAATGATTTTTAATTTTAATTAAAAAATGATAGTCTTTAAAAACTTTACAAAGAATCTGCTTTATTCAAAGAGCTGATGGGTTGGATAGCCATAGAGCAAAGCATACTTCTTTATTGGGGGTGCTGTCCTTTGCATTGTAGAATGTTTAGCAGCAACCCTGACCTCTCCCCACTAGAAACCAGTAGCACTCTCCTATTTGTGACAATCAAAATGTCACCACATATTGCAAATATCCCTGGGGAAGAAAATTGCCCCAGTTGAGAAATATTGCCCCAGAGGGGTGTAAAGTTATAAAATATCACCATGGTCTATAACAACATCGCAACTTAACAAAAATGGAAAAGTTCTTTGAATAGTCTGTTTAGAAATGCAAGTTGATAGCTTATGTATATACATAAGCTATCAACTTGCAAAAAACTAAAAAGAAAATGAGTATATAAAACACAGTAACTTCAGCTTTCTACTTGCGCTTGTACCTTAACAGTGTACTTGTATTTTGACACACTGTAATGTAATTTTTATATTACTGGCAGCAAAGACCTATTTCATGTTGGGACAAAAGCGTAAAACAGTAAAATATTCATGAATTTGTATTACTTGTACAGATGGTCAATGTAAATAAGTGAAGCTATGAATTATAGGCAATTGTAAAATATGTTCTAGTTATTACTTTCAATTACATATGGTAATTAAACTATCTGTTCACCGATAAAGTTTTTTCCAATAAAGCTGTGACTAATCTATTTTAATGAAAACTTAAGACTGATCTGGAATCAGCATCAGTCTTTGATGAACTTCCAGTTCTTAAAAACTGTTAGTTCTCTTATGCGAGTCCTGGTTCCTATTTAGAGTATTAATTTCCTTAGTACTCACTTCATGGATAATTCACAACTAGCCCTCAGCTCTGTGAATCATCTGAATGATTAGAAGATCTAAATGAATCTGACTTTGAATTTGAATGTACTTTTTAATGAAACTCACCTGATCTGCCTTTGCTTTTTCACAGACAAAGGTTTCGTAGAACTCAGCAAATTCTGGGGCGTTGTCATTGACATCCAGAACTTTAATATATAGAGGTACTCGGCTACTTTGCTTTGGATTATCTGTCACATACCAAAAAGAAAGAAATTGGCATTTACATGTCGATCGCCAATCCCCTTTAGACCCCATTGACTCACTCTTTCATTCTTATTCACGCACAGATTCCCCAAAGCTGCTGTGAGCACCACAGGGCATTAAGCACTATGTGGTCACAACAAGTAGAATTAGATTGTTTGGTACATCTGGAGTTGAATACACCTGATGGAGATATCTAGTCAATCAGGCTACTTGTGTGGATGCAGCACAACTGCGTAATACTCCCTAAGGTAACACAAAATAAAGTAAGTCCATTTAGAGATAGATTGTCAAGAAAGCCTTGGGAGCAGGCGGATGGAAAGCATATGGTTAAAACAAGGAAGAGGGAAAAATGAATAAACCACTAGGAGACCAAAGGATTGTTGTTGGTCATAGTTTCTGAGTTTGAGTGCTGAATAAGAGCTAGATATCATGTAAAGCACTTTATTATATTATCTCATTTAATTCTTACAAACTTCTGAGGTAGATACAGTTATTGCCCCATTTAATAGATGAGGAAACTGAGGCACACAGAAGTTAAGTAATTGATCCATATTTACAGAGGTAGTAAGGAACAGAGTCCAGATTCAAACTTGGGTCTGTCTGACTCCAAAGCCCAGGCTGTTTATCCTAGCGTGACAAAACAATCAATATTTGAAGACCTGAGATAAATGAAGTATTTTGGTTGTCGTCTATGACAATCTCTGGGGGTGGTGTGGAAAACAGATTTCTGGTATAAGAATCAGGAGTTGGAATGTCTCGCCTCAGCTCTTTTCATTCACTTCTCTCATGTCTATTTGTTCACTTTATACATATTTATGACCATATAATACTTAATATGTACTGGCCTCTATTTGGGGTGCTGGGACACAGAAAATATAACAAAGCTTCTTGGAGCTTTATTCTAATGGAGGTAGACAAAACTGTAAACCCTTAAACTGTGCTTCATATGGTAAATTAAGCAGGGATAAGGAAATGAGAGAAGCAGAGGTGCTACTTTGTTTGTTTTTTGTTAGATATAGGGTCTCCCTTTGTCACCCAGGCTGGAGTGTAGTGGTGAGATCACAATTTACTGAAACCTCAAACTCCTGGGTCCCAGAGATCCTCCCACCTCAGCCCCCTAAGCAGGCACATGCCACCACACCTGGCTAATTTTTAATTTTTTGTAAAGACGAAGGCGGGGGGGGGGGGTCTCATTTTGTTGCCAAGTCGGGTCTTGAACTCCTGGCCTCAAGTGATCCTCCCACAGGACTGAGGTTACAAGCGTGAGCTACTGCTCCCAGCCCGAATGGGCAACTTTGAATGAAATGACCAGGGATGGCTTCTCCGATGAGACACCATTTGCCCAGAGACATGAATGAAGAGAAGGATTAAGCCATGTGAATATTTCTGGCTCTCTAGGTAGAGGACTTAGTAAGTACAGAGACCTTGAGATGAGAGGGGCCTGGTTTTACGTAAATTCTCGGTTTCTGTTACATTGAAGGTCATTAAGAAGTTTGGACAATAACATTCTTTAAGGTCTCTTGTGCTAAAATTTCACACTATACCCAGGTGTGGTGGCTCAAGCCTGTATTCTTAGCACTTTGGGAGGCCCAGGTGAGAGGATTTGAGACCAGCCTGGGCAACTTGGTGAGTCCTCGGCTCTACAATAAATCAAAAAATAAGCCGGGTGTGATAGTGCACGCCTATAGTTCCAGCTACTTGAAAGGGTGAGGCAGAAGGATATCCCGAGCCCAGCAGGTTGAGGCTATAGTGGCCGTGAGTATGCCACTGCACTCTTGCCTGGGAGACAGAGTGAGACTCTGACTCAAAAAAAAAAAAAAAAAAAAAAAATTCACAGTATTCTTCCACATTTAGAGCTGCTGAATATGAATTTTTAAAAGATCTTTAGTCACTAATACTTTCAAGTGTGTCATAGAAACAATAAAACTTAAAAACAAATTTTAGACACAAAGCTTAAAATACTTACAAAGTGACTCCTTCAGTAAAAAAAGGGATTTCATGATGTTATTTAAAAATGGTCCTTTTCAGTGGGAAATAATTTTGTAATTTTAAAGTTTTAAGGATGCTGTCACTGGTATCTACATCAGTCTTTTAACATAAATTAACATAAACCTTAACATAAATCTTGACATACATTTTTAAAGACCAAATTCCTAACAAATTTATAATGGGGTGCCCTTATCACTATCAAAATGCAATGCTTCATTTTGCCCGTGTTGGTTATTTATGATTTGACCCAATATCATTTAGCCATTTCAAATCTCATGAGTTATGCTGACAAAGAATACAACTGCAATAAACCATTCGATATGCAGTATGTCACACTAGATATCCAACTGTGCTAAAAATGTTTAAAACTTTTAACATGAAACCCCAAAACTAAAAAAAGAGTTATAATTTAGAAGCCTATTCTTAAGCATTAAAATACTATTTTAAAGATTATTTCCCTTTATGTATTTGTGTTTACAATGCACAATAATTTTCACTGTGTATAATTGTTTTATTTGAAGCATTCATTTGGCACTATTTTTCTTTGCCTTAGATTTCATGGGGACTGCTATAAAACTCATTCTCAACATTTTATTGATTACTTGGTGGTTTGTATTGCTCACTTTGATGTACCATGGAAAAGTGATCATTTGTATCTTTTAATTCTATAAAGATTTTTAAATAGAAATTCTATGGTAAGCTGGAGAATTGATATCTAAAATATTTCAAAAACAATGCCTACATTCGAGAATATACATGACCCTTCTCGTCTTCTGTCCCCACACAGTGTCTAACCAACAGTCTATTTTTCTCAGCTCTTTCTGTAATGTTCTAATTTATAAACTTTTTTGGAATTAAATCCAACAGGTACCAAGTCAATCTCAGTTGAAAGATAAATTCTCATTTTTTTGTTTCCAAACTGCAGAACTTCTACAACTGTCTCTCTGTGAAGGAACCAACGTGTGTCTAGAAGAAACATTGCCTGCAAATTATTCCAGCACTCTGTCCCTCAGCGTGTATCAAGTGAGGTCATCCATACATGGTGACAACTTTCAGCTGTGCTCCACCAGCCACTCCATCAACTGGGAACAACAGAGGTATGAGGTCGAACTTACTGATCTCTGTTGCTATCACCGTAATGTTGTGCCATAGCAGTGTTTCTCGGTCAAGAAGTTTCGATGTAAAAATTGAACCGTTTCCAGAATCAATGTTGAAGATTCTGTCCATATCTGTGTGTCGATCGACAGAGTACCTGAAAAGGCAGGGTGAAATTTAGAAAGGCTTTCTCTATATTTGCTATTCTCACATCATAAAACATTATAAAACATCTGGGACACATCATGTCCCAGAATATACATGACAGGAATGTTTTCTATCTATAGTGCACTATCTACAACTTGACATGAGGCAAAATATTTTGAGAAATGAGTTCTTTACAGTTGAGATCTTGGTGGTAAACTCACTAGACAAGTTGCATAATTTTAAGGAGCATCACTAAAATTTTTTTTTAAAATATGTAATTTGTATCAAGTTTATATAGTGATTAACTCAAGTTTTTAAAACATCAGAACTTTAGTGTGTATGTGTGTGCAGGTGTGCTTATGTAGACTATCGACTACTTTTTTATTATTCATTTTATTTTAAAAAGTATACAGTTGAAAGAAGCAAAAACTTGCTACTGTGGCTAGGGCTAGTGAGGCAGGAGAGGGAGATAGGAGATAAAATCGGGGAGAGATGCAGAGTCCAGATTGCAGAAGGATGAGGTGGCCACAGTAAGGCCTTGGGATTCCAAATGCACATCAGTCTATTGAAGGGCTCAAAGAAGGAAAGCATCACAATCTAAATCATGGTTAACAAAGATCTCTGGTTGAATTGAGGAGAATGGCTGCATGGTGGTGTCACAAGCAGAATGAAAAGGAGTGAAAAACAGGATCTGGAGAAGATTCTAAATTCCATTTTTGAAATGTTGTTAAGGTGAGGTGTTTGAGAAGAGTCCAGGAAGAGATATCTAGCCTGAAGCTCCAGATACAGACCTGGACTGACATTCCAGATTTCCTATTCAGCTGTCTAGAAAGAGAATGTCCAATGAGGGAGGAAAAATGCTAAAGACAGAATCACTTAAAGAACCAATGGGAGACCAGAGATACACAGTGCCTGGAATAGAGGAGGAACTTGATCCCTACATATTTATGAAGAAGAGTTTGTATAAATTCACAGAAAAGGAAGAGTGGCATTTTGGAAACCAAAGAAAGACAGAATCTTTAATCCTAAAATGTGTAAAAGACTAGTAGAATTTGAGGCATGCTATCTTATTGATACATTTATTACTAGTTTTTAGAAAAGCTATGTAAGGGGACAAAGTATGTGTATATGCTTATGAGCAGGGTGGGTGAGGCATTAAAGAGGGGAATTAAAGAACAAATTCTGAAGAAAATTGATATATTAAGATCATTAGGGGAAAAAATGCCCATTTCAGCTGAATTTTTAGAACTTATAGAAGGGTATGAGGTTTAAAAATGTTGCCTCAGTAGAAACACAAGTAAATAAATGACCTAACTAGTCAGATACATGTGGAATTATGAGTGCTCTAAGAAAAATAAACCCTTGTTACTAATTTGCAATAGTATACCATGTCAAGATTCTACATCAATACATTATTTTGGTTTAGAATACAATAGTGAATTATAATAAACAATATATTTTATCATCATAAAACTTACTTGTTATTTTAGCAAGTGTCTAAATGAAATAGATATCCAATTATTGGAGGTCATTTAAATCTGATTTTAAAGAGAATTAATGAAGTTCACAATGGGTATGTATATCAAGTTGGGTTGGATTTTCAGTTTTAATGTATATAAACAAATGCTTTTATTATCAAAAGGGCTGGAACAGATTGAACAGTTATTGTTTTTACCACTTATGTCATGAATCAACATTTATTAAGAATTTAGGCAACAGCATTGAACTTACTTGACCACCTTTATTTTTAATTTGAAAAATATTTATAGCGCATAACTACAAAAAAGGGAATCTTAACATTTATAGACTTTGTAATAAACTTAATAATTATCTACAAACATTTTTTTCCTCATGAAAAATATCAAGCTTAAGATGTGCTGCTTCTGTAAGATGTTATAATTATATACAGCAATAATCTTGTTTTGTTCTTTGTCTCTTTGCCTCTTGATATAGTTTTAAGTTTTATAAGTTATCATCTTTTCCCATCCAGTCTTGAATTAAAGGGTAAGAGGTGGAAATTTTTAGTTGACGGCAGCTTTCGATTTTTAAGAGGAAGTAACTATTTAGGAAATACCAAAATTGTATCATTTTTTTCCTTTTCTTGGGAGATTTTAAAAGTAATATAAAACCTAAAATGCCTACATTGTTTAGGAAAGATGCTTGCACACAAAGTCTTACTTTGGTATTTTTCTTTCCAAAGTAATTTCAATTTATATCAAGAATATTTACCGTCCAGTCACATTAATTGCAATCATCACTGATAAGAAGCAAGGTAATCAATCCCATCATGATTATAGCAGATCATTCTGCTAGAAAGCTCTTTTTTATTTCCCTAGGACTTCATTGTATTCTTTGATTAAATAATTTGTCTTCTAATCGACCCTTTAGTCGGGAAGATTTGTGGGTCAGCAAAAAAGATGTGTTGCATGTAAATTTTTCATAATGTGCATTTATAGTGATATAAGATTCTGTCATGTAAATTAAAGAAAATTTGTGATGAAGTTATCAGAAGAAAGTTATTTTATGTAATTAAAGAATTAAAGATTTGTGCTTGCATAATGATACATCAGTGTTCGGGGGAAGAATTTTCTAGTGTTAATTTTGCACCTAACATATTGTCTAGCACCTAGTTGTTCAATATTTATGTCTTGAAAAATCAAAAACTATGTATGGATGTACTTTTCTAGTATAAGAATGAATTTTATCCTATAAAATGATGCTGGAATTGCATTTATATACCAATATATCTATATGTATTTCTAGCCTTAAATCTATATCTATGTATCAAATCCATATGTACCAAGGAAAGGCTGGCAGTAAAAATCTTCAAAATTAGCTGACAGCCAACACCGTCTGACAATCTAACTACTTTCTTTCATAAAACAGAGAATAATGCAGTGGGTAAAATGGTATTTGGTATGAAAAGTAATATAGATGTATAAATATAGCCTACATTCCCAGAAGATGTTATCTTTTTAAATTAAAAACATGTTGATCTATCAAAGAAGTAACCAAAGCTCATATTTGTAAACTTCTAGTATTAACACTTTCAAATTGAATTTGATGCTGACTTACAAAGCTTTTTCCCTTTTTTTTTTTGAGTTAGAGTCTCACTCTGTCGCCCAGACTGGAGTACAGTGGCCGCTCCTGGCCACCGCAGCCTCGATCTGCTGGGCTCTGGTGATCCTTCCGCCTCGGCCTTCCGAGTAGCAGGTATTACAGGAATGCGCTACCACGCCCGGCTGATTTTTTGATTTATTGTAGAGGTGAGGTCTCGCCAAGTTGTCCAGATGGGTCTCGAACCTACAGGCTCAGACAATTCACTCACCTCAGCCTCCCAAGGCGTGGGATTACAGGCTGAGCCACCGAGCCTGGCTGCTTTTTCCCTTATGCAGTTTAAACAAACTCCAAGTGAGAGAATTGTTGTGAGAGTACTTCCACTATTTGTGTTATATAAATGAAAGCCAGAATTCATTTTCTTTCTTAATAATATTAAATAGATGTAGAGAAACACTTGATTCATGGAGCTCAGAGCTCTCATATGGCTACTCTGAGTTGACCATAGCCCAATTCAAGGTGTCTTATAGACTTCCAGTAGAATAATGAAACAAGTGTTTATTTGCCCTGTGATTTAAAATTATTCCCTGAAAGTAAGCCAGGCATTCAGATGTGGGGCTTGCCATAAGGTTCCATTTGAACAAACCAAACTTGACCACCAAAAAGCTAGAAAATCACTACATTGGAGCCTCAGATTATTTTAATTGTGCTAATATTCTTCCTGCAGTAACTGGTGTAATCCTTTTTAAAATGGAGTTTTAGATTAGGTTACTCTTTTACTCATAGCTTTTCAGCGGCTTCTCACTTCAATCAGAATAAAATTCAGTCTTTACCATAAATGACAAAGCCCTTGGGACCCACCCCACTCACCACCTCCTATTAAACCTTCCTCTTGCTTCCTATCTGATCTCTCCTCCCTCTCTTACTTTCTTTTGTGCCTAGGCCTCCTTGCTACTCTTTCAACATGCTAAGAAAGCTCTGCTATTAGACTTCACCCTTGCTTTTTCCTCTTTTTGGAATGATCTTCCCCCAGGTATCAGCATGGTTCACCCCTTAATTTCCTTCAAATCTTTACTCCAGTGATTTCTTACCAATAAGGCCAGGCCTGACCACGTTATCTAAAATAGTACCCAGTGGCCAGGCGTGGTGGCTCAAGCCTGTAATCCCAGTACTTTGGGAGGCCGAGGCGAGAGGATTGCCTGAGCTCAGGTGTTCTAGACCAGCCTGAGCAGCATGGTGAGACCTCGTCTCTACAATAAATCAAAAAGTTAGCTGGGCGTGGTGGCACTTGCTTGTGGTGCCAGCTACTTGGAAGGCTGAGGCAGAAGGATCGCCTGAGCCCAGCAGGTCGAGGCTGCAGTGGCCGTGAGCATGCCATTGCACTCCAGCCTGGGTGACAGAGTGAGACTTCAACTTAAAAAAAAAAAAATAACCCAACTACTCTTTATTTCCCTACTCTGCTTTATTTTTTCCTGCTTAAAATTTATTTTCACCTGAAAAATTACATATTTATTGTTTGTTTATGTGTGCTCCAATTATAGATGGTAAGTTCTGTGAGAACAGGACTGTATTCCCTAGTACCTAGAATGTATCTGGCACTTGACTGGTGCCCTGATTAGACTCTATTTGTGAACTCCTGGCAAGAGTTTCTTTAGCTTTTCAATCTGCTTACTTTATTTATGGGGAATAATTTACACAATGATGTTCTGGTTTAGGACTTTTCTCTTTTAGTCAACTAAGCTACTGGCTGAAACCTGGAGGCTGGTTGACGCCAGTGTTTTTCTGGGAAGATTCTAAAATACCGAAGCACCGGTGGTCCCAAAGAGCAATGAGACTTTTTTGCAACATGATTTACAATAAAGGGTGGGGAAAGTACAGGGAAGACAGAGCTTGCTTACGTAACACACATTAGGATTCTGCTCTATTAATTTCCCCAGGATTTCATGGACATATATTATGAACAGTTCTTTTTATCTACATCCACAAAAGGAAAAATTATGCATCCAAATGGAGCATAATTCTGTCTCTAAATGTTACATGATAGGTTTTTTCATACTTGAAATATAGGCTCTCAAGCCCAATGCCTGGTTTGTTAAAAATCATGATACCAGCTGGGCTCGGTGGCTCAGCCTGTAATCCCGTGCCTTTGGGAGGCTGAGGTGAGTGGATTGCCTGAGCCTGCGGGTTCGAGACCCACCCGGGCAGCGAGACCTCATCTCTACAATAAATTAAAAAATCAGCCGGGCGTGGTAGCGCATGCCTGTAATTCCGGCCACTTGGAAGGCTGAGGCGGAAGGATCGCCAGAGCCCAGCAGGTTGAGGCTGTGGTGGCCGGGAGCAGCCACTGCACTCCAATCTGGGTGACAGAGTGAGACTCCAACTCAAAAAAAAAAAAAAAAAAAGAAAAAAATCATGATACCTTCTTTACACCACTCTTTGACAAACCTTAAACATAAGAAATAGTTAAACCTTAAAAAAAAAAATTCCAGGTCATTCAGCTGTATCACCTTATACTATTTCTTTGTAAGCAGGAAACTCTTTCTAGCTCCTTCTGGTTTTCGTTCTTTCCAATTTTGCATGTTTTAGGTTTCTATGTTCAGCCCCCTGTATCTGTAGATTCCGCAACCTTGAATTCAACCAATCGCAAATAAAAAATACTCGAAAAATAGAAAAGGCAAACAATAAAAAGTAACAACTTCTTTTTTTATTCACTTAAAGTAAAGGGGAGGATGTGCTTAAGTTTTATGCAAATATTATGCCATTTTATAGGGACTTCAGCATCCTCAAATTTGGGTATGGGGGATGGTCCTGGACCAATCCCCCAAGGATACAGAGAGACTACTATATCGCTGCTGAAATTATATTTGAGCAATGTGAATAAAAGGTGCTGTTTAGAGTAGTTTTTCAGAAAACATAACTGTCTAAATTGGGAAAAAAGGGATTCGTCTTTCCTAATGAGCAGGCAGATATTTGACTGAAGCTTATGAAAGAGACATGTCACGGAAGTGTGCTTACTTCACAGGATTCCTGGCAGCGTCTGGATCTTGGGCTGTGACTGAGCCTATCGTGGTGTTTATCTGAGCGTCTTCTCTTATTTGTAGAACGTAGGCCAGTTTGCTAAAGACAGGAGGCTCATCTACATCCTCTACCACAATTCTAACTGTGGCGGAGTCTTTGAACGGCCCCAGGTAGAGAAACCGTGGCTCGACGTGAGGGTTGGAGGCTTCCACTTTGAGGGTATACACTTTCTTCTTTTCAAAGTCCAAGAGCTTGGGGGAGAAAGGGACATATTTAAATAGTCAAGACAGAGAAAGCCAAGACATGAAATCTTTTTGGTATAAATCACTGACGAAGGAACATGATTGTATTGTTTCGGGAAATCACTACACATTAGTGTAATATTGGGCAAAGGCAGAACAGATAAGGTGTAACTATTTTTTTTCTCACATCGAGACCATTAGGCAAGAAACTACTATAAAGTCTGTGAAGGAGTACAGATGTCACGAAAGTGTGAACTGAAACCATGCCTGTTCTTGACTTAAAAGTGGGTGCTGAGGTACAAGACATCATCCTGGGCAGGAAGGGAACCTGGAAGCAGAGTCTGGTACAGCCCACCCTCTCCTCACTTTAAAAAGATTCTTATATCTGACTACAGGGGCCCACCAGGGGCAAGATGGCAAATATGCATAACGTTATTCTATGTCAGATGTTCTTACTTTTGGCTTTAATTGCCCTTGATGAGTGCTTAAAACTGGCTAATGCCTGGGTTCCACAAATATCTGGGGTAGAGATGGCAATCTATACTATGAAACATCTCCACTAGTGGTTCTATGGTACAGCCAGAATTGAGAACAATCCGTTGCAATGTGATTCCTTCTTCCTCGTTCAAATAAAATATATTGAACTTTTTTTTCTTTTTTGCATGAGGTAATAAAATACTCTAAACGATATCCTGATAAGGACTTTGGGCTAATTATTTGCCAAAGAAAGTCATGATCATTGTTGTCAAAGGTCTTTAGGAAAAGTATCTCTGCTTTTGGACACCTAGTGAACCCAAAGGCTTATTGCTGACTTTTAGTTTTAGATAATAATATGACAAGTCTCACTAGAAACACAATTAATCAAGACGTTAGTGAATGTGATTTAGTTGGCTAGGCAAAATTTCAGTTAGAATCTGATAAGGCACCAAGAAAATTAAAAAGGTTAATGCACACTAATGGGCTTCTAATTATATTATAGCATAAAACATTGGTCTGAGTGTCACTTAAACATGTTTTATTGTGTTTTCAGCTATTAAGACATGCAACCCAAAGCTTACCAGGAAAAATATTCTTGTTATTTACATCTACTCACACTTATATTTACTGGCAAAGATAATAGCATGGTGAAGGAAAGAGAAAATAATACACCATGCATGATAAAAGTGAAATCATAGAAAATTAAACAATATTACTATTGTTTTTAGTCCTGAAGCACACAATTTATTGGTTTTTAATTTTTGCCACACTTTTGTATACTGTTCTGTGGTGCTCAGTAGGGGTGACCTAATGAATAAATATATTGAGGAAAAATAGGAAATCAGAACATAAAAGATTGGTTGTTGTTGTGTTTCGGAAAGTAGCTAAAGAGGCTGCAGGAAATTTGTGTTGCTTAACTGAAATGCTGCGTGGTCTTTGTATATTTTCTCTCTCTAACACAAGTCATCTGGATCCTGGTTGCAGTGCTTTTTCCTTCAAAGTATGCATCACAATTTGTAGTTGCACGTTTGTTTGTTTACTTGCTTTCTTGTCTCTTTCCCTTCTAGACTGAAAGTTCCATGAGTGTCAGAATCCTCTGTTGTATGTGTCATGTACTTCTAGCACCTAAAACAGTGTCTGGCACTCTTTGTTTATTGTTCATTTATAGTATATATCTTGTGTATTTTTATGGGTGTCATTTGTTTGCAGTACTTATTTACTTAGGAAGTTCTTAATACAAGTTTATTGAAAGTATAGAATTAAGGGCCATACTTTCAATAAATTGAAAAGTGGCACACGCCTGTAATCTTAGCACTTTGGGAGGCTGAAGTGGGAGGATTGCTTAAGGCCAGGAGTTCAAGCCCAGTTGGTCGACATAGCAAGACCCCATACAAAAAAAAAATTAGCTGGGCATGGTGGTGTGTACCTCTAGTCCCAGCTTTGTAGGAGGCTAAAATGGGAGGATCACAAAGAGTCCAGGAGTTCGAGACTGCAGTGAGCTATGATTGTGCCACTGCATTCCAACCTGGGTGACAGAGTGAGACTCTATCTCCAAAAAATATGGAATTAATAAATGAATATTATTTTAGATCCCTAAAAGCCAGCCTAAGAGAATGCAGTGTAATTATAATTGGTATTTTTAAAAAATACCAATTTTGTATTTAAAAATACCAATTATAATTGGTATTTTAAATTTTTTATTTATGATAAAGAAAGTACAAATCTAAAGGAATGGTTATGTGAGATGTAATTGCCCTTGGTAACTTGAGAACAGAGAAAAGTAAATGTGTCTACTTGTATAGTATTTCAGAAGCCACATTACCTTTCTGACGGTAATAATCCCTTCCTGGGTTTCCTGGTCAGTGACGACATCAAACATATCCAGCCCCTCTCCATCTGTGATGCTGTACTCAATTTCAGCATTTTCTCCCACATCAGCATCGCTGGCTTTGATCCTGCCAATTGGTGTACCCGGTGGAGATGATTCAGGGGTTTTAAACTGGTATGTACCTATTAACCACCAGAGATACAAGTCAAACACAGAGTCAGCATACTCTATCATCATAAACACCAAACCCATTTTCTAACAGCTCTTTAAGACATTACCACCAATGTAGGCAGATTTGTGCTTTCTTCAAAATAATTAATGATACCCTGTTCTCCTTATGTCTTTACTTTCATGGTTGTTAAGAATATTTCTTCCATGCCATGACCTGTCTCCTTGCAGATGGAGAACACTTTTCTTGTCCTGTAAACAGGCTTCAAAGTTTGTGGTGTGATTGCGAGAATGACCGAACTGCCAGAAGAGGCACAGAAGGTTTCAAGCTCCCTGTTAACTTAATCTCACAGAAAGAATTGAATAGAATGTGATCTGAACGGTGAGTTTAAGCCAATTACTAGGTACTTTTTTAAAAAGAGTTCTTTCTACCATTGCTAATAATAGCTGAAGGTGGAAATAAATTACAGCAATTTAGAGACTGTATTCAAGTAGACATTCTTTCACCCTTACACGGACTCCCAGAGCTGGATCTAGCTGTAGAGTAAGGGAAATAGGTAGAAACAATGAGTGATAAAACTCTTCATTTTTTTTTATTTTGGCTACCTCTTCTTTTACATTTTATTACAGTATTTTTTCTATGCACAGTTTCCTCCCATACTTATATTTGTATTACTAATTCAAAACCTAATTTTTGTGGATAGACACTTTATGTCCTCATGCTGCAAAATTAGCTTAAGGAGACTATATGGGAGTTTCAGGTTAGGTCTGCCAGGTCACATGTTCTTAGCATCAGAAAAATAAAATAGTAAAAACAAAACATATTCTACCCTTATTCATTACATTCTGCCAACCATTCATACAAATGATTTGGAAAGACTTAGATTATATCACCACTAAAACATAGACATTCAATAATAATCATCATCCCCTAAGGATTGAATTCATCCTTGGTAAAATGACAAAGCAGGTTGTCTTTCTCTAGTGTATTTAACTTCCATTTTTAGGGCCTCCTGCCCCGTTCTGTATTCTTCCCTTGCCTTGACATATTGTTCAGTGACAAGTCACAGGCTATCTGAAAAGGTTGTTTTTGGGTAAAGAGTAGGTGATCCTGAGATCTTTCTTTCAGGCCTCCGTGGGGGAAATCTTAGGGCTCATAAACTTCTATTTGTGATAGCAGAAAATAATTAGCTATTCTGTCTTTGCAGTTAGCTAATTCTGAATACTTGAAAAAATATTTATTTGGTTCATATACACCTCCATTCTAAAGGAAGCCCCTATTAGCTGACCTTCTTTTAAAAATGCCATGATAGAGTGAGTGGGTTTTCTATTTAATAATTGAGATAACATTCTTAGGAGATCGTGGTCAGAAAGGGATTTTATTCCTGGAAGAAAAATTACATTAAAAGCAGTTACCACTTGGGCAGCTCTATGTGAAAGAGTTTTGCATATTGCTGATACAAAGTCAGTATTCATGGATTTTTTTCTTCCTTCTTATCTAATCATGAGAGTTAATGATTTTAGAGATGGACTTTCAGTATCTCAATTAACCATGATGTTGAAAACTATTTATGATTACAAATGGATTAAGTACCTAGTTACTTCCACAGTTGTATTTTTAGAAACAGTAAAATGATAAATCCTCTCCTTACAAAGCTTTGTGAGGATTTAAAAGAGATTACACGCCTGATTAAATTCACAAAATATAAAGTCAAATTTTTCCTAACAAATAGCAGCATGCTTGTATACATATGTTCTGCACGAGCAGATTTATGTCTGTGGTAGTCTTCTTAATAAGGAAAAATGAAACAATGATGTTGCCTTTATAACAACAGCCATATCAGAAACCGCTCAGCTAATTACCAGTGGAGAACATAAATGTCCACATTTCCTGAATGTAAGCAGTGCTGTCAACTCATTTTTAATAAAAAAGTGCCAGTTCTTACTAGTCCATCAATTTACAATAATGATCACAGTGGAAAAAAAAATTCTTAAAGTTGGAGTTTACAAAAGTGCATTGAAGAAACTCATTCAATCAAATGTTCCTACTCTGGGGGAATCGGGGAGGATTGTCGTTGACATCAGTCAGCGTGATGTTCACTGTGGTGGTTCCAGATAATCCTCCCATCTGGCCGCCCATGTCCTTGGCTTGTATCACCACTTGGTACTGCTCCCTGTTTTCTCGATCCATGTTGAGCAGAGCTGTCTTGATGATACCTGTGGATGTGAAGATTAGGAGTGGAAAGGGATGCATTAAAAATACTTTATAAAATCATTTATTTATGCAAATAAACTGTCATCCACAAATATGCAAAACACAATGCAGATGTTGTAATGAAATAAGGATTAAATATAGCCTTTATACTGAAGGATATTACAACCAAGCAGAAGAGACTTTTTTTTTAAAGTCTGTTGGCTGGGCGCAGTGGCTATAATACCAGCACTTTGGGAGGCTGAGGTGAGAGGATTGCCTGAGCTCACAGGTTAAAGACCAGCCTGGGCAACTTGGTGAGACCTCATCTCTATAATAAACAATAATAAAAAAAAATTGGCTGGGCATGGTGGTGCGTGCCTGTAGTTCCAGCTACTTGGAAGGCTGAGGCAGAAGGATCACTTGAGCCCAGCAGGTCAAGGTTGCGGTGGCCCTGAGTGTGCCACTGCACTTCAACCTTGGTGACAGAGTGAGACTCTAACTCAAAAAAATAAAAATAAATAAAGCCTGTTAATACAAGAAGAATAAAAATAAGTATAAGTCAAATCCTGCAATAGTATAGACTATTAATCATTATAAGACTTAATATTATAACTACAGTATGGATTTTATATGAATATTAAGTGTTACAAGATGACATAGCAAAAATTTAATTTTGCATATGATATAAAGGCATACTATAGGAGCTGCTTGATAAAAGCCATGTAGGTGTATTATGAAGAAATTGTTTTTGGATGGACTTAGAGTCTATAATACTGAGTGATTTATCACATAAACAAAGAACTGAGTATCACATATTCTCTCATAAGCAGACCTTGAACAATTATCGTAATACTGTAAGAAAAGGATTGGCAGTAGTGGGAATCTGCTGGGGCGGGGGGGGCACACCTCATCAACAAGGGTACCTGCATAATGAACATTTGTATACCTCACCCTGAATTGTATCCCACATCTTTCAAATTAAAAATTAAAAAAAAAGGAAAGAAAAGAAATTGTTAAGAAAGCCATAGACTTGAACTGATGCTTGAGTTTACCATTATGGAATTGACTAATTGCTCGCAAATACACTTTCTGTAATGAATGTTCGGAGGATTTTCTAAGCCACAAAACTATGATCTTAAGAAAACACAGTACCAGTTCTCTCATAATTAGCATCTTATATGATCTTAGAGAATTTAGGTTTTCCTAATGCTGATGTGAACTGTAGTTAAGCTGGTCCCAACAGCAACCAACATTTTAAAGTTAGGTTTAATTTATCTCTATTGTTAGGTAGTTATAAAACAATTAGTTAAAAGGACTTCTGAAAGTTCACCTAATCTCTGTGTAAGATTTATGCTTAAATTAACTTCTTTCAAAAACCACTAGAGAAGGCTTTATAACTGTCTTTAGTAGCACATTCCAGTGCTTAACAATCAATGAAGCTGAAAATATCTCTTTTTATTTTTAACGAGAATACCTCAGACAACAGGTCAGTTTTAATCCTATAGTCCTGGCTTCAGTAAAAGTGCAGCTGCTTTCTGTTCTCCAGATAATAGTATTTCTCTATTTAAATTAAGAAGATCACCTTAGCCCTTTGTCCTTTAAGTTGAATAATTCTAATTTTTCTTCCTCATTGTTTTTCAGCTCAACATTTTTTTTTTCTCCTTGGGATTCTTTCCAAGTTCATTGCACTGCTGAACACATTGATTTCCAACTGGATGTAATAACCTAGAAAGGGTTTTGTTTCTACTAATGATAATGGACATTTGAAAATGTATAAAAGAAAATTGGCTCTTATTATGATGCAGCACTATGTGTAGAATTTACCATACAATACAAGTAATATTTACTAAAAACACATCATTATAAGATAGGATGCTACTTTGTGGAGAAAATACGGAAAAATGAGATGCTGGTAAAAAAAAATTCCATAAGGCAATTCTCTTTGCTTGATTAGGGCAAGATATCAGTTAGGATGGGCTAGACAGTGAAATGATGACAAAGAATGCAAAATCTCTGTGGTTTAAGATAACCAAAGTTTATTTTTTGTTCACACTCCAAGCAGGGAAGCAGGAAGATCTGCACATGATACCACTCAGACATACAGGCTGCAGATTCCATCTCAACATTGGTTTCCACGGTCACTGTGGCAAGGGAAAGGAATGTGGGATTTGCACCAACTCTGAAAGTTTTACTTAGAAGTGACTTACATCACTGTCACATTTTATTTACCCAAATGAATCACATGGCTACATCCAGCTTTGAAACAGAATAGAGAGATGCAAGCCTATTAAATCATTTTTTAAAGATTTAGAATATCCATAAACAGGCCTAATAGCTATCAGAAAGGGTTGATCTTTTAGCTTCACCCCAAACTGGAAGAGGAATAAAACAATGCATAATTTTTCTGAATTTTCCTTTGTATAAACACGGTGGATGAAAGATTCATTGTCAGATTTCTTGATTAAAATGATTTAGGTGTCATGTTTACAAATATATCATCAGTGTTTGGTAGAGGAATGCAAGAAAATTCAATCACACTGATTGTTTTTATTAAAAGATGTGCGAGCTCAGCTGAGTATGTCAATTAAAATGCAGATTGTCAAAAAGAAGATCAAAAAAGAATTCTAACCTGTTTCTGATTCAACTGAAAAATAGGGCTGTCCCTGTAGAATACTATAGACAACTTTGGCACTGTTCCCATATGTTGGGTCATCAGCATCAGTTGCAGTGACTTGGACAACAAATGTACCTGTAATGACAGAAACATAAACTGAAAATAAATCAAGGGTCCATTACAATTCTTTTATACACACACATAAAAAGAAAGCCAGATCTTCATTTTGTATAGAACTTCATGGTAAGGAAGTGGAAAACTTACGTAGAATGCTAAGTTCAAAACCCTTGGATTCTTTGCTCTAAAGAAATGTAATTAATATTTATAAATATTATAAGGATGAAGTTAAAGAGGAGCATGGTAATGGTCATGACTTTGAGTGAATCTCTTTCTAACCCGTCTTCAATGGTGGAATTTGACTGGACTTTTGCTATAGTGATTATTTCAAGTTATCTAAGTCAATCAACATCTTGCATTCCTTTGTCCACAAAAATTGGTTTAGGATTGGTCATTCATGATTTTGCTGGAAATTCTGTGTCATAGATACTCTTTCTCCTAGACTGCAATGTGCTGATGTACATTTGCAGCAGCTTTTTTTGTGATCTTAGAAATACCAGCCTGAGGACAAAGCTGACAGAATAGAAAACTACAGAGCCATAGCTAGAACTCAGATAAAATCATGTCCAAAGCCCACTTTACTTTTGGACTTAAGTAATGTGACCAATAAATAATTTTATTGTTTAAACTAGTTTTGAGTTGGCTTTCCTGTTACTTGCCAATAAAAGTATCCTCAATGATAAACTTATCTGATAATTTTAAAAGATTGAAAGACCTTGAACCTTAGTGGTTGTGATTTTGGACTAAATTAATGAAAAAAGCAAAGCAGAAACATCTGGAAGCTATAATTCCAAAAGATAATTTTAACTAAATATACAAAAAAGGCTATTACATTTTGGAACAGTATTCTTATTTTAGGGAACACAGTTGTCTTCAAAGTATCACTAGCCCCCTGAATTTTCATGTGTGTGCTTATGTGTCTATTTCACCAAAGAGAGGGTAGATAGACTTTCCCAAAAGGATAAGACCCTCTGATTAAGATAGTCTTATGGCTGATTTTTGATAGTCATATCAAATAAGCAGTAAGCCTACTGCTAGAGTTTTCCTATCCATGAAGAAAACAAGGAAGTTACATCTTTGGAATATTAGAATTTCTACATTGCTTTGTAATAGCTACTCAATTTCACTTATTGAACATATAAATTGTACTATGCTCGGGTTGTATGTTCTGAACATATAGTGCTGATGCACGAAACAGAGCACCCACCCTCATAATTTGGCAAAGGGGGTGAGAAGAATGAGAACATCCTATGATTTTAGAGTGAGAGTTAACAAAAGTTAACAAACACCCAAGTTCTTGTTTGACATTAATATAAACTTTGATTTGATTTTAGCATATGATTATCTGGATGCGTAAGTGCCTATTAGTTGACAGATACTGTATTAGGGGCTCTGCACCTGTTTTCTCATCTAATCTTCATAATAGCCCTTAGGAGTTGGCATTTATTATTTATTTTTTCTCGATACAGAACTGGAGGATCAGAGAAAATCAAATAACTTGCCCAAGGCTAAACTGCTGCTTCCTATTAGAGATAGTTTCAAATTCAGGTCTGTTTGATGCCAAAGTCCATTTCTGCCCTCCTGCTATTGTCCCACTATCTTCATGTAGTTTCTTGAAGATGCCTTTCCTCATCACAATAATGACATGCTAATTAATGATAATGATGAATATCAACATAATGGTGACTGTATGAAGATTTAAAAAAGCCTTATTTTTTTCCTCAAGACATGTTGCTGTCAGCTCCCCCTAAATATCTGTAAAACATATTTAATTCTGTAATGGTTCAAAAGTGAATGGAACCCCCTCGAGTTGTGCAGTGTACCATCTGCATTTCCTGTTACAGTTGCCCTGAGTAGTGCTGAGGAGACTATCCTTTATGACTTTTACCACCTAGAGGAAACTTTTTTCCCCTAACAAACTCTCCTCTTTAGAGAATTCCATCCTATTATTGCTGCGACCAGCGAAGAATAAGGAGAAAACAGAATTCCAATCCTTCTCTTTTCTTTGAGATGGCTTGTGATTTTTGTAACAAAACAAAGTGGTTTCAAATCCTGAGATGTACAATTTCTTCATGAGAAAAATTTAGTTGTTTTGCAATAATATCTATGGATCAATGTCTTAGATTTGTGAACTACAACGCTTCTGATCGACTGACAGATACATAATAAAGTTATTATGTAATTTCAGCCCTTTTGAATTTGACAGTGAAAATAAAAATAACCCTTTACATAAGGAGTTTAAAATTTGTCACTGTCTCCCATGAAGTATTTTAATGTGGTTAAGAGTGATGTCAGTATAATTTTTTTCTTAATTTAAATCCTGTCTACCCTCACCCAATTTAAACAAATTAAATCCACACACATTAAACTTAAAATTGGTGGTGGAATGTACATCAAATATTAATTAACTATATTTACCACATAAAAGTCTCTTAATTCCCACCAAGTAGTAAAGGATACATTCCCCAGACATCATCTGTTTTTTTTAAAAAAGTTTTCTTTGAGTCTCTTTCCCGAATATACAGTTACCTAAAGCAACCATCACTACTATAATAAAGTTATAGCCATAGTTACATACGTTTATTCTATTCAGTTTTCAAATAAAATCCATACAAAATTCTTCTTATTTTAGGATGGCTCATCAAAAAAACAATTTAAATTATCATAATCTTAAAAAGAAGACCATTTTAGGGATCTGCACATATTCACAAGGAGGCTTGCCTATCAAATCTAGTGAAAATAGTCTAACTATATTCTTAAACGTGTTAACAGGCCGTGGAATGTAAATTCAAAACTGCTTCCCCCAAAAGATTCAAGTTTCAGACAAAACCAGAGTTTGGTTTAGTTTGGTTTCTGTGTATGATACAGAAAGAGCCACAGTCACATAATATGGACAATGTCATAACCACAAAGGCAACAGCAGCCACAAGTGAACGAATTCTGCGTCTCAATTCATACCACATGAAACACTCAGAGTGGCATCTACACATTTGAAAATGGGGAAGCTAGGTGATCTCTTTAGACTAGACTATAAATTCAGTCTTTTATTTTCTACTGGGGAGGTCCTTACCTGGAACCCAATACCAGTGTGGACTAAGAGAAATGGAGAAGTCTGCTGTCTTCCAGCCAAAGAAACAGAGTAGGAGTTCAGGTGGGAGAGAAAGGAGGTGGTCTCCTTTCCCATCTCCCACGTCTACCCTGCCACTTTTCATTCTCTCCTCATTAGGGGAAGCACTGTCTACTTAAAAATAATAACAAAAGGAGACTAGAGCAACATCAGGAAACACGGGTGCACTTACAAAAAGGACATACATGGACTGTGGAATTTAGCATTTAACTCAGTACATTTGGCTCATGGGATTCCTTACTCAGGATGTGCTAGAGATCAGTTTTAGGTTGAAATCACATCTCACTCACCAACATCAGACATTTCGGGGACAGTGGCTGTGTAAACCTCCTTGGTGAATATGGGTTCATTGTCGTTGATGTCATGAATCTTGATGATGAATTCAGACTCAGGCTCTACGGGTCTTCCTGTTCTTCTGTTTATAGCTTGAGCACGAAGGATATAAACAGGTTTTTCTTCCCTGTCCAGTCTCTTGGTAGCCTGTATGTCGCCTGTGTTTTCATTGATAATGAAGAGATCTCCTGCTCCATCTCCTGAAAGGATATATTTAAGTGATCCATCTCCTCTATCTTGGTCTGAATGTAACTAGTGTAGAAAAAAAAAATTAAAGAAGTAAAAGTCAAGCATGTGATCCTAAACTGTTTTTTCTTTATCGTGCATGCTATGTTAACCTGTATTAAATCCTTTCTAAGGCATACAGTTTTTTTTCTTTTACTATTTACATAACCTCTAGATAGTAAATGCCAGTTATTAATGAACGTTTCCTTGTAATCCTAGAATTTTCCGGAACTGGAACAGAATTTAGGGGGACATTTACTGATGCTTATTTTGAAGAAATAAAAACTAAAGGCCAGAGCAATAGCAAGACACCCAAGGACATGTTTTTTCATTACAGATTTCACATTCTACTAATACATTTTCTTCCTCACTTGTATGTACACATATTAGGAAGCAATACACTTTGGAGAAAAAGAACTTTGAATTTTGAATCAGAGAGACTTGGGTACATTCTCCTTCTACACTAAAGTTACTGTCTTGGTGAATTTAGGGAAGGTAGGCAATCCCTCTGAGTGGTGGAGATTATAACCACTTTTCTGGGATGATGAGAAATTTGTTTGTTTATGAAATTTAATTTGAAGTATTTGAGGGACAGCCTAAGTTCTGCCATGAATGATGCCTCGAAAATCACCTGACTAGATAATTTACAAGGTCACTTGGAACAATAATACTTAACATTCAGATTTTAGTATAAGATAGGAAAGAACTTTCTAATAATTGAAATAGTCTGCCTTATGAGATAGTGAGTTCCCTGCTTCTAAAGGTAATCAAGCATAGACTCTGAGGATTAACTGTCAGTGAAATGGGTCTGGGAAACGGGTTGAATTAAATGAATGTTAGGATCCCATGGAAGAGGAAGGTGATGATGCTAACTTGGACCAATAATCCGTATTTCCTATCCCAGAGATTATTTTTACAGTGTTGAATTCCTTCATTCCCCTTTTCCCACCCAGGAAAAATGCAGATTGTCTTTACACTGTTCACAAATTTTTAAAAAGTGCTTTTTATTGAGGACTATTTATAAACTCCCAGGGTCATAAGTATCAGTGACATATAGACAAGTTAGTTTCAGTAGGAAGGCTGCTAAATTCTACCTTGTTCCAGTTTTGTCTAAACAGAGAACGGCTATGTTACTACAGTATCGGCAACAACCACCACAGGTAACAATTACACATCCTCTTGATGAATACTGCATGGAACACTTAGAGTAGCATCCACACATTTGAAAATATACTCTTAAAGCAAAAGGGACTTTTAAAATAATCTAACCTAGTCTTTCTAAAAGTGTATCCCTTGGAGCATCGTTTACACAAAATGCTGAGGGAAAGAAGCACTTGCTATTCTTGGAGTCACTCATATTAAAGTCTGTGGGCATCTGCAGTTTGAAACTCTACTTGACTTTGTTTAATCTAGCTTTCCCTAACTTTCTTATTTAAAAAATCCTTTTGGATGTAACTCATATTGATATCTCCCATAACCAGTTTTCTAAGAAAGATACTTTGGGAGACAAAATTGAATCCATCATTGCAGAGTCAAGAAAATCGAGGCTCCAATTTAGGTAGTGCTTCCAAAGTCACACAGCTTGTCTGAAACAAGTCCAAAGATTAGAACTTGCTAGCAAAAGAGGCTTTATAGATTATTTGGTGCAATGTCCTCATTTTTAGAGGTGGAGAAACCATGTCTAACGCCACACAGCTAAAGCTAGTTCATTGCAGTGTTTGGGGGGAGAGAATATTATTCATATAATTAGTAGCTTTGAAAGCAACTTGGCAGGAATAATGGAAGATAAATGTGGACACGGAGGAAATTGCTTAGGAGAGAGACGGATGCAATAGGAAATGTAAAACAAGAGCATTCCATGATTTGTGTAATGTGATATGCTAAGGACACGCTGGACCATGATGACACAGAAAGAGCCACCGGGGAAAGTTTAACTCTCCATCGTCAAATTCTAATGACTGAAGAGGCTCTTAAAAAGCTATTTCATTAACTCACAAGTAAAGAAACCAACTTCACTGCCTGGCGGATCCTTGCTCCAGGGCAGCTGTGGTCAGCAGCCTGGCACCGTGTGGGGGGTGCTGCCTTGGAGTCCTAAGTATGGCTATGTTCATTCTCTTTCACTCACCAAGTGCAAGAGCACAGCAGAGTCAATTAACCTCCCCGAGCCAGGATCCTCATTCGTTAAATGAGGACATTAAGAGCTACATGTCTAGGCTGTTGTGAAGGTCTAATTAGAAACCATATACAAATACTACATTAATCGCCATGCAAACATGAAATAAAAGAACAATACGTGCTTTATAAATTATATAGCGCCTTCCAAATTTGAGAGATTGCTTAACCATTGTTAGTTCCTATGCACCGTGTTTTGGCTCCTATTTGGACTCTGAGAACTTTGTTTTGAAAACCCAATTTTACAAACACACAGCACCTCTAAGGTCAAATCTGTTATCAAAAGTCAGTATACTTTTACTGGGGGCAACCGTTATCTTTACAGATGATTTATTATATCCTGCATCCCACTAGATTATAGACTCTCCCAGGCCAGTTCTTCCATCACTTTCAGTATATAATTGATGCACACTTAGTAGGTGAATACCACATCTGGTCACAAGATTTATTCAGGTAAAAGTAATCAGAAACTTATTTTTAGCTATCAGGAGAGACCATTTCGATGACTTATAGAACAAACACCCGAGACAGTGTAAAAGGGCAGAGGAGACACCAAAGAAGACTGCAAACAGGGATTGCTTTGCAGATCACAATTCTGATTTACCCATATTTGAAAACTAGTGGAGGAAACACATCTCTTCACTAAGGCATTGTCTGATAATGAAACAATTTAACCCCTTCCCCCTTCCTCCCTCCAAAGTGCATTATCTGGGTCTGACAGAGTCCACAGAGCAGAACCCTCCAGAAGCCTCTGCTTTGTTCTCCCCACTCTCCTCCCCTTTTGCTGAACTCCCCTGGGGCCAGCTCTTTTCTCTACTCTTGGGAAAAAGAGAAAACATAAGATATCAGTGCCCGTGAAAGCAGTGGTGACAACCAGACATTAGAGGTTTATTGAGCACTTAGATTTTAATTGGATTTTTTCTTTTGTGATGTCATCCATCATGGCCACTGTAAAAGACAAGTTAAACAACAACAAATAAAAGGTTGTAGGCTGCCCGAGGCGTGTTTTTACTAATTTCAGTTTAATGTGGCTGTTCCATTAAGTTTAATCATCTGGTTCACTTTTAACGATTCACCATCAAATAAAAATTATCCACTTCTCTCAGAAAGTCACATCTCACCTGTGGCTGGTGGAACTTTTTTTTTTTGAGTTGGAGTCTCACTCTGTCGCCCAGACTGGAGTGCAGTGGCCGCTCCCGGCCACAGCAGCCTCGACCTGCTGGGCTCCGGCGATCCTTCAGCCTCAGCCTTCCGAGTAGCCGGAATTACAGGCATGCGCTACGATGCCCGGCTGATTTTTTGATTTATTGTAGAGATGAGGTCTCGCTGCTCAGGCGGGTCTCGAACCCGCAGGCTCAGGCAATCCACTCACCTCAGCCTCCCAAAGGCGCGGGATTACAGGCTGAGCCACCGAGCCCGGCTTGGTGGAACTTTTTACTACGGTTTCTGGGGCATTTGTGCCAGAGGGAGCTCTTGGTGTCTGTTTCTCTGTTCATTTTTTTTTTAAAGGCAGCACTTTGGCAAATAAACACAGGAATTTGTGGTTGTAGACACAGCCCCATAGAGGTTGGCACCAACCGTGGCAGTATCTTTGTCCTCTGGGTGCTGTGTTTCCCTGGGGATAGAGCAACTCTTTATATGCTACATGGACAGACTCTCAATTTTAAACTCAACTAAAAGGTATAATTCTAACTGTACTGATGTTTAGGTTCTGTGAAGCCAGCTAATACTGCCCTATGGCCCCTGTCTCCTGTGTGTCTCTGAGTCACTGTCTGAGTCCATAATTCAGACCAGGTGCGGTGGCTCATGCCTATAATCCCAGCACTTTGAGAAGCCGAGGAGAGAGGATTGCCTGAGTCCACGGGTTCAAGATCAGCCTGGGCAATTTGGCATGACCTTATCTCTACAATAAGTCAAAAAGTTAGCCGGGCATGGTGGCGCATGTCTGTAGTTCGTTACTTGGAAGGCTGAGACTGAAGGATCACCTGAGCCCAGCAGGCTGAGGGTGTGGTGGCCGTGAGTGTGCCACTGCACTCCAGCCTGGGCGACAGGGTGAGAACTCCAACTAAAAAAAAAAAAAAATCAAATCTTCTAATCATATGCATTGTTGAGACAGAAAACTATCTGAATAAAAGCTTACCTAGATGGTAAACATGGGAGGTACCTAAAACAGGCTTACAGGGTCTTAGCCTTATGTGGTCTTAGGAAGGGTTTTAAGTAATGCTTGGCTGAAATGGAAAAAAAAATTGAGGTATGGCTACTATGCTTGTAGAGTGCATTGCAAATGCAGTGTTGCTCTTTAAGAAATGTAGTGGTTGCTAATCTAAGATGTCACAGGACAAGCAGAGAACAGCAGGTGATGAAAATATGCTGTCTCACTGGGACTGAGGGAGAGAAACAGCAGTTAAAGTAGAGAGAGAGAATGCCTTCATGCTCAGTAGATTGAAAAACTACTTTAAGTTAGCAAAATAAATCTATGACCAGGCTACGTCAAATTGAAGTTTAACAGAATTAACATATAAGTATACCTATAGATATTTATATATATATACTCACATCTTTTTATGTAATATATGCATACATAATGCTAATAAATATACTTGGTATTGTGAAGGCTGGGGAGAGTTTATTGGGTAGTTTATATAGAGAAGAAATTGAACCTTGCTTGAAGTATATGGCAGGGATCAGAAATTGATTGTGTTTTAGGGATTATAGGATTAAGTAAATAAAAAATATTTTAATAACATTTCATATTACACACTTTAATATGCTATATTTGAATGTTAATGATTTGGTATGAGTTAACTAATTTATATTTGATGATTATTATCAAATCAAAATGTTGATGGCAGCAT